CTTTTTTTTTTTTTTTTTTGAGACAGAGTCTCACTTTGTTGCCCAGGCTAGAGTGAGTGCCGTGGTGTCAGCCTAGCTCAAAGCAACCTCTCAAACTCCTGGGCTCAGGCAATCCTCCTGCCTCAGTCTCCCAGTAGCTGGGACTACAGGCATGTGCCACCATGCCCGGCTCATTTTTTTCTATATATATTAGTTGGCCAATTTATTTCTTTTTATTTATAGTAGAGATGGGTCTGACTCTTGCTCAGGCTGGTTTCAAACTCCTGACCTGGCGCAATCCGCCGGCCTCGGCCTCCCAGAGTGCTAGGATTACAGGCGTGAGCCACTGGGCCTGGCCTAGGTCTTGCATTTTTAAGTGGTAAAATTGATATTGGATTTCAAAAGCTGTGTTCTGTGCTCTACATCTATGGTTCTAAATCAGAGTATCAGAATCAGCTGGGGAGATGTTTTTAAATATAGGTTTGTAACATCACCTCTTCCTCCATTATTTGCTTGGGGTCCTTTAATAATGTGTTAAGCAATCTCAGTTTTAACCTGTGACTTCCAACTTCTTGATGTCCCTAATCCCCTTCAATGTTGAAATTCTAGTCCACCCCCCTAATCTGAATATCTCAGAGTTTGTGTTATTCCAGAGCTCTCTAGGTGATTCTGATGTGATACACATTTGGGATATCTCCTACTACACTATTCACTGTGCTGCTGGCTTTTCTTTTTGTAATTGGAACATGAGAATTGAAGTCCATATCGCTTTGAATTTCAGCACAGTTTTATTGCTCACTTTTTTTTCTTTTGTTTGGGGTTTTTTTTTTTTTTTTTTGAGACAAGGTCTCACCCTGTCACCCAGGCTAGAGTACAGTGACATGATCATAGCTCACTGCAGCCTCAAACTCCTGGGCTCTAGGGATCCTTCTGCCTCAGCCTCCACCGTAGCTGGGACTACAGTTGTAAGCCATCATGCCCAGCTAATTTTTTTATATTTTTGTAGAGATGGGTCTTACTATGTTGCCCAGGCTGGTTTTGAAGTCTTAGGCTCAAGCTATCCTCCCACGCAAAGTGTGGGTTTTTTGGTTTGTTTTTTACTGGCTTGAGCTACTGTGCCTGGCCTTTTTCTTTTCTATTTTTTGTAGAAACATGGTCTCCCTGTTTTGCTTGGGTTGGTCTTGAGCTCCTGACCGCAAGTGATCCTTCTGCCCTGGCCTCCCAAAGTGCTGAGATTACTATTGTGAGCCACTGCACCCAGCTTATTTTCATTTTTATTTTTCCCTTTCTAATTACCATTTATCAAATTATTGAAATTATTTTCTTATGGAAAGAAGGCTTAGGTGTCCTGAGACTTTACAATCTTAGTACATTGTAAAAAGTATACTGTCTCATTGTAGTGAGAAGTTATATAACGTACAGGCTTCTAGGTCGTCTAGCCAGGCCATCTAGTCAGGACAGCTGTGTGATAAAAATAGAATTGAATCCAGGCTTGATACAGAAATTAAGAACAGGGTAGAAAAGACCCTGAAGTAAAGACTTGGAGATAAATTCTTGTAAGAAAGGATTGTTTCCTGAATTTTGAGTTGTGGACATATCTTTTGGGTTTGGGGAAGTAGGAAGGGTAAGTTATCCTAAATATGAAACCTTGTAAGAACAGAGTATGAATAAAAACACAGAAGGTCAGGAAGAAACATCTAGAGTAATGAATAGATGGCCTGACTAACATGAGAAAGAACCAACTCAGTGATGAAATCATTAACTTCTCTGGAGTGAGAATCATGTATTTTACTTATTTTGTGCTGCTGCTTTATTCTTCTCAAATCACTGTGGTGTTTAGTAATTGCTAGGGGGAATGGTTGAAAACTTAGGTTTTTGGTCTGGTGCAGTGGCTCATGTCTGTAATCCCAGCATTTTGAGAGGCCAAGGTGGGAGGATGGCTTGAGCCCACGAGTTTGAGGCTGTAGTGAGCTATATGGCACCACTGTATGCTGGCCTGTGTGACAATGAGACCCTGTCAAAAAACAAAACAAAAAACAACTTAGGTTTTTGATGCACATGTCAGAATGATACCATCTTTGCATATGTCCACACTTCTTTCCTTTCACATTTGGAAAATTTTGTACGGAGCATCTGTTGAATATCTGTGTGCAGTCTCTATCCAGTCTAGACCATTAGATGGGTGGAGTACGTTCCAGTTTTTTAATGTCTCTTGTGGTTTTTCTCCTCTTATTTTTCATGGTAAATGCCAAAGTAATTACAATCTTGACTAAAATCCAATAAAGCTTGAAATAAGAGGGAATCTAAAATAAACCTGCTTAAAGGGAAAGAGTAGCTTCTTTATTTTAAAGTAACGTTTAGTGGAATTAAGACAGATAAGATCTCTGCACTTATGGAATTTACAGTATAGAGGGGAAGGTAGAAAATAAGCACAAATAAGTGAATGACAGATTAAGAAAATTTAGGGCAGTGCAGTGGCTCACGCCTGTAATCCTAGCACTCTGGGAGGCTGAGGCAGGTGGATCACTCAAGTTCAGGAGTTGGAAACCAGCCTGAGCAAGAGCAAGACCCCATCTCTGCTAAAAATAGAAATAAATTAATTGGCCAACTAAAAATATATAGGAAAAAATTAGCCAGGCATAGTGGTACATGCCTGTAGTTCCAGCTGCTCGGGAGACTGAGGCAGAAGGATCTCTTGAGCCTAGTAGTTTAGGTTGCTGTGAGCTAGGCTGATGCCATGGCACTCTAGCCTGGGCAGCAGAGTGAGACTCTGACTAAAAAAAAAAAATTTATAAGTGGCTGGTGGATCTAAAAGAGTGTGTTGGGAATGATTATCTTAGCTAATAAGGATCAAGGAGAGTCTCTGTGAAGAGGTGACGTTTGAGTTGAGCTTGAAAGATGAGCTTGTGCTTAGCCGTGTGAAAAGCTGGGGATACGTTCCAGGCCTGGGAACAAGTGCAAAGACTTGGAAGGCTGGGTGTTAGAATGGAGAGAAGGCTCCTGGGAGCCAGGGGGAGAATGGAAAGATTCCATGTGGCCTCTTGTATCAGCTCTTAGGGGAATATTTGGATTTTATTCTAATAGCAGGGAGAAGGGTTTTAGTTAGGGCAGTGATAAGTTTTTGTTTTTAAAGATCACTGGCTACGTGGAGAAAGGAAGAAGAGGGAAGTTAGGACACTGTTGCAGTAGTCAGCCCAAGATTGACACTATCTTAGGCAAGCAGAGTGGCAATGAGAAGAGTAGATGACAGGTTACAGGTATATTTTGGAGGTAGAGCAAGAAAGGTTTGCTTAGTGAGTTGGCTGTGGAGGGAAATGGAGGAATCAAGGGTGTCTTCAGGTTTTTGGCCCCAACCTTGGGTGGCTAATGGTCTCATTTGCTCGTTGGAGAAGAGTGGAAAAGAAACAGGTGGAGAGGGGCGGGTAACAAGAGTTTCATGTGGAAGCTGTTGGATTTCTAACAAACATTTTAAAAAACCTAAGTAGAGAGTCAAGTAGGCAGTGGATATTCCAGTTGGGCTGAGAGAGAGGAGTGGTTGAGACTGGACATAGATTTTGGGAGTCAACAGCATACAGATGGTATCTTATGGAACTGGCTGAGATCATTTGTGATCCTAGAGGCCTTAAGATCAAGCCCTAAAATACTTCCAGTGGCTAAAGTTTGGGCAAAGAAGACCGAAAAGGCTTAGCCATTAAAGTATGAGAGTGAATATTTTATCCTGTTTAAGGAAGATGGTCACCTCTGTCAAGTGCTGCCTAGAAGTTAAACAATGACGTTAGAGAAATGTCCGTTGGGGATGACTGTTTTGGCAAGTAGTTTCAAGGGCTTATGAGGATGGAG